GCCCTCCCGGGGCACTCCCGGGACACGGCAGGCACTCCAGCCTGGCCGCTCCCTCGGGAGTCGCTGGGAAATCCGAGGGAAGTGCTCGGGAGCTATCTCTGCTCTGCTGCCTGGCTGGGAGCTGGGAATGCTGCTCCTGGGAACGTTCAGTGTCACTGCACCACCTCCTTCTGACCCTTTCCTACATAGCCCTCCTTATGGAAGGACACGAGCTGTTGGCAATCATGGAATCCTTCGGGCTGGAAAGGCCATCGAGTCCAACCACTCTGCCAAGGCCACCCCTGATCCATGTCCCCATCCCAGGTCAGGGCAGGACTGACAGACCCACTGCCAACATCCCTCCCATTCACCCACACTGTTCCTGAACCTTTTCCAAGGAAGACATAAATACCAACCCTGGCCCTAATTTACTTTGAAGAGTTTAATTTTCGCTGTTTCCCAATTTTTTTCTGCCACTGAATTGCTTTGGACATTCCAGCCTAATCTTATCTGCAGTCCCTGACTGCACATTTCTCATGGAGCAGCACAGCTCTCTCCTCCCTTCCCATTCTATTCCAAGCATTCAGCAAATGCTTGAGGTCAGAATATCCATCACTCCAGCTCCTCTTTGCAGTGGAGTCATTTCCATGCATTCCTGTGTCAGGGAACTGTGGCTGGGCTGGGGGGAGCTGGGACACAGTTCAAAGAGTGGGAAGTGAGAAATGTCCATGACTTCCACTCCAAAAACATGGGGAATTCTTTGTTGTTCACTCATGTTTGTGTAGCATAACTGAGGCTACAGGCTGAGAAAGAAATGTCCTGCAGGACTTGAAAAATATAAATATTGTTCAATAAAACACAATAAACCCCCAGTTTAAGTGTTTGCTGAATTAAAACTTCCTGTATTTAGTAATCTACTGTATTTAGTAAATTAGCATGGTCTTGCTCTAGGAATCTTTGCATTTCAATGGGTTTTCTGGTCTGAAAAACAGATACTTTGAATGATGTTAGAAATCACATGTCTCCAAGTAAAAATAGCCAGGCATTTCCTGGGTCATGTTCCTACCTCCTCCTGGACTTGACTCAAGCTGTGAATCAGCTGTGTCCTCTCCTGGGTTAATTTTTCCAGTTCATCTGACTTGTGCTTCATTTCTTTCCTCAGTTTATCCAGAAATGATTCATTGTTGTTCTTTTCCATCGTCAGCTGAAATTCAAGTTCACTGATCAGTCTTTTAAGGCTCTGAATTTCTTTCTCCTTGTCTCCATCTTTCTCTGCAAGTTTCATCTGGGCATCCTGGAGCTTCTTCTCAAGGATTTCTGTCTCCATCCTTAAGCTCTTGGTGGCACTGGATATTAAACCTGGTATCTGCATGAGATCAGACAAAACCTGCATTCATCTACAGTCAGTATTTTTGTACAGAGAGAATTAATATCAGACAAATGTTGACTTGAGGAAAAAAAACCAACAAATGCAAACACACATGTCCTCAGAGAGAAAAAAATGCTTTGAATTTACAGAATGCCCTCAGAGGGTGTCAGAGAGCTGTAATTAATCAACACTCAGAACAGAGATTTATTAGTATGTTCAAGACCAAACAGAGAAATCGAGGTAAAAATGGGAAAATTTCAAGTCAGTGTTTCTTCAGGGTCTTAAAATCACAACCAAATATTTGTCAAGTGAACAAAGGCAAAGTGTTCTTTTCATCTTTAAAGCACCGTGCAATGTCATAACTTTTAAATAACAGTGTAATTTCATCAAATTCCTTTTTCCTCAGATTTCTCAAGAATTGTGCCAAATCCTTTGAGAAGGTTATAGGTAAAATTGTTCAATTTCTACATAAAACTCAAGAATCTGGAGCTCTGAGAAGCTGGGACCCCACCTGGTGCCACCTCCAGCAGAACCCAGAAGGTGGGAACTGGCCCTTTGGGAAGGGGAAAAACCACGTGGATGGGTTTGTGGGAACTCACCATAGTCTGAAACAGTCCCAAGGTTTTGCAAAATGATGTCAGATTGAAAATTGAAATCCAGGGACACAGATGGGAAGAGAAAATATGACAACAAAGAACTTCCACACCATTTCACTTGAACTGGAATAGTTATTTTTTGCCTGTTCCATTAAAAAAATAAATTAAATATAGGTCCTATATTTAGACTGGGGAAAAACACTGTATCATCTAGACAGAGGATGACACATAAAGGGGGTTTTATTCCTTCCCATTCTGGTTTTCAACAGTTTTATCTGATCTGCTGCCACGGGAGTTTTCTCCTGAGCATTCCACACCTTCTTCTGCAGCTCCTCGTGGTCTCGCTGGTACTTTGTGATCAGCTCCTGCTGTTTCTGCCTCTCCAGGTCCAGCTCCACCCTGGCCTCCTCCTTGACTTTTAGAATTGCCTCTTTCTGCCGAGCCTCTCCTTTGGCCAGATCCATTTCCAGCTGGGGAACAAGAGGGTTTCAGTCACACAGAGCAGCCCAACTTCTAATATATTCCCTTTCCAACAGGGCCTTAAGGGAAGTGATGGGGAATTTGGCAGCCTGAGATTCTGGGCACTGAACAAACACTTCCGACCCACTGGAGCCCGGCCAGGGAACGCTCCTGCTCCAGAGCTCACAGAGTCACAGCCCAGGAGTCTCCAGCGGCTCTGGATCCCTAAATTTAGGCAGCTGGACTTCACACTAAATCACTATGAACACACTGAATTACAAAACCCTTGGCTGGGTCCTGAGCCAGATGATCCTGCTGGAGGGGTTTGCTCTGGAGGTGAAACTCTGTCGGCACCAGTTCCAAAGGCAGCAAAATGACACAGCCACAAAGTCACGGAATGGGTTGGGTCGGGAGGGACTTTAAAGCTTGGAAATACCAGAAATCCAGGGAAAGGAGCACCAGAGGAACCTCCCCAGAACCTCTCAGACACCTGTGCTCTGCCAATGGGCCATTGTCCAGTCGAGGCTCAAAAAATGGAGAACCCAAAGTGAACGAGTTCCAAATTCTGGGTAAAACATCCCAGCCCTTAAAGCATCTCAAATAATTAACATCAGAAACTCAAACCTGAAAGTTCAGCCATCATTTCCTGAACAGAAGAGCCTGGGTTCTGGAGGACACACTGAAGGCTGTATTTAGGAAAATACTTTTCCTGACCCAGGATGTTAATGTTCTGTTTGTGCAGGCTGGGTTCTAATGGATTTAATTGCACCAGGCTGAGAGGCACATCAAGTGCACAACTCCAACCCAATTACTTCAAATTATTAAAAGAAGAAAAGCCCAGAATGAGCTTAATTACAATTATCTTAATTTCACACACTAATCTCCCTAAACTCTTTTCTCTGGAGGGAAAAGATAAACTGGAAATATTTTCATTATTTTTTAAAATCAAAATAGAGGTAACTATAGGGTGGAATAGGTGCAAATCCCCCACTAAGGTTTAGATTAAAATTGGTATATTTTTAAGATCCTCAAAGTAGACTCTTCTTCCTCCTCTTCTCCTTCCCCTCCTTCTTCTTCTTATTGTTATTATTTTAATGATATAATATATTAGTATTATTACTATACTAATGATAATAACAATAAATGAAAACAATTCCTGGTTTATCTCTATTTTAAACAGAAATCTTGCCCACTTGCTGCTCCCAATGGCACAGTGACCCAAACCAACCATTGTCCCTTTATCACATTGTTGATTTTTTGGTTGCTGAGCACATTTTTGGAGCCCTTCCCTGTGCTGCATTTTAATGATCCCAAAGCTGTAATTGCTCCCTCTGCCTCCCACCAATCTTTATCTGGTTCCCATGTCAGGCTGAACAACACTCTGTGATTATGGAGCCAGTGTGATCTCCTTCCCAAATTACACCCTGTGACATGGAGGTGAAGATGTTTCCAAAGGGATGGAACTGATCTTAATTGCTACCAGTCCCCAGATCTCCCAGAGACTCAGGAAAGCTTTCAGACACTTATCACCCACTGAAGCAAAAAATACAGTCATTTCAGTCACCAATTATGTCAGCATTAAATCAGACAAGTCAGAATTATTGTTCAACTCTGCTTTTAAATTATTCTTCACATATAAATATATATTTTTTTTAATTTCCTGTGTTCAGTTTGGGGTTTTTTGGTGCTCGTGGCAGAAGTTGCAGAGGAGAACACAGTTGACACAGTGGCAGTTGTTTATGGTAAACAGCTTCCCAAATCCCACTGGAGGAGACTGGCAGGAAAACTCCTTGTACAAAGGATATCGTTGACAAGTTGTGGCTGCCCCTGGATCCCTGGAAGTGTCCAAGGCCAGGTTGGACAGGGCTTGGAGCAACCTGGGCTAGTGGAAAGTGTCCCTGCCCATGGCAGGGGGTGGGACTGGATGGGCTTTAAGGTCCCTCCAACCCAAACCAGTCCATGATTTTATGATTCTATGAACTTCAAAATACATTAAATATGGTTTAGGAAATAGGAGGCTCCCCAAAACAAATTTCCTGTAAATTTATGGGTCTGAGGAACCAGCAAACCCAGAGTTCATGGGCAACAAAGACTCGTGTGTTCCTGACAGAAATCAACTGATTTTTGGCTGAGTCCCTTCCTACCCAGACCATTCCATGATCCCAGGATTTCAGGACACCTGGCACTTGAGGAGATCAGTCCCTGCCTCACTGTGCTCACTGTGACCACTGTGACAACAGAAAATACCCCAAATAAAGCAGGAGGCAGAGGTTGCCAGGGGCCCATCCAGGGTTACCTTCTCCCTCCAGGTCTCCTCACTCCTCATCTTCTGCCTCAGCGCTTCCTGCAGCTGCTCCGTCCTGGTCTGGTGGGAAACCACCATCAGCTCCCTGGAAACCACACCAAGGGGATGTGAGGATGAGCTCCACCCACAGGGGTGCAATTCCCCTCCCTTTTGTCCAGCACTCTGTGCAATAACCCCCAGCAATCCTGCCTGGAGGCACAGCAGGATCACTCCTCAGCATTCCCACAGTGCCACCACTCGCTCCATCAATTCCATGTTCCACAGAAAATGCTGCAGCTCATCTTCCTTCCACCTCAAACGACATCTTAATATTTCTTCAATATTTCTCAAGTCAAATTTTGAAGAACACAGAAAAACTTAACACTATTCAAACCAGAAATAGCACTTAGAACAACTGCTATCATTGATTAAAAAATTGCGGGGTGTTTGGAATTAAAACCACTGAGTGCTTTCTGCTGTTAAGTTACTGTTTGTTATGTGATGCCTTGTAAAGCAAAACTCCTGGAGAGCTTAAATTCTTGTAATTTATGTTATTAGCAACTTGTACACCATAAAATGCCATAACTATTCCAATACTCCAGGCCCTTGGATATGATCTGGTACTTGGTTAAGTGTAAGGGCAACTTCCCACCAGTTCAGCCTGATTTTGAAGGTTCTCAGCTATGAATAAAGCTGTCTTTTTCCCTGGAATTACTTGTCAGATGTGGAAAATAAAGCACTGAGCTTCTGAGGGTTATTTTCCCTGGAATGGGATCTCCTTTCAGCACCTTTGCTTTAGACTTACCAACCTAAATCCACACTTCTTAATTACCTTGACCATAATCTACATACCCAGTTTCATCCCTGACAACCATGGGCTCGTTGTGACCATTTCAAAATGCCAAGAGGCACCAAGAGGGTTTTGTAAATGTAAATTTGTAAATTTACATTTTTTTAAATTTTTTTTTGTAAATTCTTTACATTTGTAAAATTTCCAGCACAGCTGGAACAGCTGCCCCAGAGGGGTGTTCAGGGGTTTGATTAAGCTTGAGCTGAAGCCCTGGAGAGCCAAGCAGGGCTTTTTCCCTCCTATTTTTTTTTAGCAGGATTTTTTCTTTTCTTTTTTTTTACCATTCAAGTTTTGTTTCTCTTTCAATAATTAAAAAAACAATCTGATGAATTCCAAACTGTCAGGAATTTTCAGGACCACTTCAGCCCAGCTCCCATTACCTCTCCTGTTTCAGCATCACCACCTCCTCCTCTGTTTGGCTCAGCAGAGTTTTCAGTGTCTCCAGTTCACTCTCTGATCGCCCAGTTCTTCTTTTCAGGTCTTCTTCTTTCCTCTCCTTCTCAGCCACTTCCTCCTGTAAATGTTTGCAGACTTGTTGGCAAATCAGAAGAGATTCCTCCTTTTCCTTGAGCTCCTTGGTGAGCCTGCAGGTGAAGTAAGAAAGTATCAGCACTGCAGTGACTGTATTCTTGGTTACAGACAGAAATGGAAAATTAAATATTAGACAAAAAAACCCATATGTATTCGTTAAGAAGTTAAATCTGATAACTTCACAGAAAAATAGGAAAAAATATTGTCTAAAATTGCTTTAAAATCATACCATTTTTGCTCTCCTGTTCAGAAAAAGCTATTATGAAATATCATTTCAGCATTTACCTTGACTCAGAAATTCCGTTTTCGTATTTCATCTTTTTCAGTTCATTTTGACAGACTTCAAGTTCTGTTGATTTCATCCTAAAAAACATTCCAAAAAGTGTGTTATCCAAAGAAATGAGCCTTTGCTCCTGCACAACCTGGACATCACTTCTGGGTGTATTACCCAACTTGCATTTTCTATTTCAGTCAAAAGGCCACAAACAGGAAGTTCTTTCAGCTCCAGGTAAGATTTGTCATAATTCCATTGTCATCTCAGCCTGAGCAGGATCACAAATGTTGCAAACAATTATGAAAGTTTTGAGGGAAAAATTAATAAAACTGAACAAATAGCAATCTTGTAGGTGAAAGGGCTGGAAACTGCAGGTTTTGTGTCATTATGTCATCATTTCACCAATTAATAACCATGGTTAAACTTCATATTTACATTTAAACAGACATAGAATATGTTATTTTATGAAATTGTGCCCATATTGCATTGAAATTTTAATATTACATTTGGAAAGCCCTCCCTGTTTATTTAACCATGTCCATGACATCTTTTTTCCACACTCAATCCTTACATTATCACTAAAATACGTTGTTGCTAAGCATTCCAAATATTTGCCACTCGGTTGTGGTCAGACCCCTGAACACAGGAACTGAAACCAGAAAGTCCGGAGCAGAACAGCCTGAACCCTGTTTAAATTTCAGGAAAACATGGGAAAGGAGGGATGACAGCTGGTCTTGACATTGGCAGAACCAGTTCCTCACTCTTGAGCTAAATATTTGAGCTGGGACAGTGAGATGGAGCTCTGGGAGCTTCTCTTTCCAGGCACCTGCTGCAGTTGGCTCTGACAAGGAGCTGGTGACAGTCTGTTGTGGGTGACATTCTATTGTAGATGACATTCCATTGTTGGTGACATTCTATTGTGGATGACAGTCTATTTTTGGTGACAGTCTTTTTTTTTGCTCTATTAATTTAGGTTTTGCTCATTCTTCATTAAAACACAGGCATGACACAGTGAAATTCCAGCGGGGCAGGACATGGGGTGTGGGGCAGAGTCACAGCAAACTCACACTTGGGGGGCAGATAAAGAAAGAAATTGTAGCCACTGATTAAATACTAAACTTTGTGATTCGTTTTATGGCAATAAAAACCTTCTATCCCAAACCTACAGTGTAAAATCCCAAATCCCAGCCTGGTTTGGGTTGGAAGAGACATTAAAGCCATCCTGTTCCACCCTGCCATGGGCAGGGACACCTTCCACTGGCCCAGGTTGCTCCAACCTGGCCTTGGACATTTCCAGGGATCCAGGGGCAGCCCAGCTTCTCTGGACAACCTGTGCCACCCTCCCAGACAAGAACTCCTTCCAATATCCCATCTAACCCTGCCCTTTGGCACTGGGAAGCCATTCCCCCTAGTCCTGTTACTACATTTCCTTGTAAAAACACTACTGCTTAGAAATCATAACATGAGGAAAAAATATTTCCTCTGCTGGTCAAAACCTTCTCAAGTCAACGTGACAAGCAGCACTTGGTGGACAGCAGTGGTTTGGTGCCTCTTTCTGTGCAGTGGGGAAGGATCCAGGGATGGGAACCTTACATTAACAGCTTCTTGTAGTGGTCCAGCTCGGCCGTCACCTTCTGCAGCTGCAGCCCAGTTGTCTCCACTTGATTTGTTAAATCTGAAAGCAGAAACGTGGGGTTTGTGTCTCCAGTTATTCTAAAATACATTCACCTTTGTCCACACTGTGGTTTGTTTCCACCTCAGACCCGTGAATGCCCAGTCCCACCTCATACAGGAGCTGTCAGATCCATCCCCAAACTATCAGCCTTCAGAAAGAGCTTTTGGAAGAGAAAGTTCAAATTTCCTTGGCCTTGACTAAGCCCTTGCAAAAAATGATGGAAGTTATTTATAGAAGCACCTTCTACTCCACCTGCCACCAATGCCAAAACAAATCAACCATATTTTTGCATAACACACCTGTGATATCAAGTCCTTGGGTGCTTTGGTTCCATGAACTCAGTGGAAGGTGGGCTGAGATCAGCCGTGCTCAGCGATGGTCTTGTGTGACCACAGCAAGTGGTGAGAGCAGCTCAGCTGCTCCTCAAAACCCCTGGCAACCAGCAGTTTATAATCCTTCACTACCCCCTCCCCGTTTCAGTTCTGTGCCTGAAAAGCCAACCTTGTTTTCCCTCAGTTCCCTGGGAATGAACCACAGAACATCCATCCCGTGTTGAACCGGCCGAGATAAATCCCCGGTCACTGTTAAACCCCTTGTTTGTGTGACTCTCTTCTGGCCAAAACTTCCTCTCTGCTGTTTTTAAGGCTTCCCTGAGAAACTCCCCTTGTCACCAAAGCCCTGCAGCCCCTCTGCCATCCAACCCTGCCCAGCAGAGCCCGGCCCAAGCTGGGATGGTTGGTGGCATCCTCCCCTCTCTCCGAGCGGGACGTCGTGGCCCCGCACACGCAGGACACACCAGACCACCTGCAGCCCCTTCTGCTTCCTCCCCCTGGGCCTCCCTCAGCAATGGATTGCCCTGCACCCTCCTCCAAGGCCAAAGAACCCAACTTTCATTTCCTGTCATCCATCCTGACACTGCCTCGTGGAGCCAACGGCTCGGAATTCCACAGAAAAAGGGGAAACTTTGGCTTCAGCTGCCAAGCAGATGTGAGGCAGAGCACTGGGAACAACCTCACCCCCAGAGCAGGAACGTGACTTTGGGAGGACAGATTTAGCCCAGATCACTGTAGCTGGACAGCAGAGAGAGCAGAGCCCCTGCCCTCCTCACAGGCTGCCGAGGAGAAGGTTTGCCCAAACATCTGACAATTTTTAAAATTGGTATTATAGAAGATCTCTGGCAATCATTAATAACTGTGGCATTTTTTCCTCTTCCTCCATGTGGGAATATGGACACAAGTTCTGGGATAAAGGAAAAGGAGAGGGATGATGCTTATTTTGGTTCTAGTACTTTGGGTGGTCCCTTCCAGTGCTGTTTCTTCTTTCACTCAATCTGTTTTCAGAAGTTTTTATATTCACTGAGCAGGCACAGGAGTTTTTCATGAGGGAGTAGATGGATTTAATTACACAGATGGTTTCTGCAAGTTTTCTCTAGGGAGAATTCCCACCAAAGTCACCAGGAGAGTAGAAAGTCTGGGGAATCAGACCCACACCCACAGGGACTAAATAATAGAGATTTCAATGAAAAACATGGCGAAATGAGGAAACTAATAAGCAGAATGGTAATACAAATGAAAACTTATGCTGAAAACTTGCTGAATAAAGAAAAATATATTCAAATGACTATGTAAAAATGTCCTCTGGCAATGAAAATAAAGCACATTGCAAAACATGCAAACCCAACGGAAAGCATCGAGGCTCTGTAAGACTGATACTCGCTTTAAAGCTTGAAGAAGAACCACATCTCAAAAACCTTCAGTCCAAAACCATCTCGGTATCATTGGTGTTTAATTTTAGTTATTTTTTGACTCAGAAAGGACCTCACCGTAGTCATTAACCTTGCAGTAACCTTTCAGTGGGACTCTGCTGTGACAGAGACCGAGGGGACAGAGCACAGAACGTGCACAGAGACAGGAAGAACCAAAGAAACAGAACCAAAGCTGCTTCCTCTTCCTTGGGTGAATTCCCATCAGTGCAGCCTCAAAACACCCAGCACGGAGCCTGCTCAGAACTGGCTTTCAGGAATTCAGCCACCCAGTTTGCATCCAAGGGCACAGGCTCCAGATTCTGGTGGGAAATAGCAACAACTGGTAAAGTTTTCAGTGAAAAATAAAACAAATAAGCAGTAAGCAGCCACTCTGGAAGCCATCAACTGCCCAGCTAATTCCTAACAGATTCCCAGGGAGATCAGATCAGAAGCATGCATGATAGAGCTGTGTAATTATCTACTTTTCCTGCAAAACCTACAAAAAAACCCAAGATAATTTCTGACAATCTTGGTCTCATCTAACCAAAAGCTCAGTGGTTGATACACATGTAAGGAAAGGGTGACTATTTTTCTGTACTTAAGACTTTCTAGGGAGGTTCATGTGCACAGATCAGATAGATCAGAGAATGCTCAGAGAGTCCCAGAAAGCTTTGGGTGGCAAGGGGCCTTAAAGTCCATCCAGTCCCACCCCTGCCATGGGCAGGGACACCTTCCACCAGCCCAGGTTGCTCCAAGCCCCATCCAACCTGGCCTTGGACACTTCCAGGGATGAGGCAGCCACAGCTTCTCTGGGCAACCTGTGCCAGGGCCTCCCCACCCTCACAGCCAAGAATTCCTTCCCAATATCCCATATAACCCTGTTCTCTGGCAGTTTGAAGCCATTCCCCCTTGTCCTGTCACCCCATGCCTTATAAACAGTCTCTCTCCATCTTTCCTGTAGCCCCTTCAGGCACTGCAAGGCCACAATTAAGTCACCCCGAAACTTCTCCAGACTGAACAATCCCAACTCTCCCAGCCTTTCCTCACAGCAGAGGTGCTCCACCTCTCAATCGACTTGGTGACCCTCCTCTGGACTTGCTCCAACAGTTCCATGTCCTTCCTGTGTTGGAGACCCTGGATTTGGCACTGAGGATGTGCAGTCCCCCACCAGCACCTGAGACCCTCCTGGGCAGTAGCCCAGGGACAGAAGCCCAGCACAGCAGGTCCTGGCAGTCAGGGGGGAACCTGTTCCATGTCAGCGAGTCTCTGGTCTAAAATGACTGTGCCTACCAAAAATAAATGCATGTCTACAGAGCCCACGTGTTTTCAAGGTGAGAAACCCAGCCTGCTCCTCGCTGCCTGGCCGGGCACTGCAGACAAGAGGAGCTGCTCCTTCCCCACATCTCTGCATCACACAGAGAAGGCTGAGGGAGGGGTTGGTTTCATTTTCCCTTCATTTCTGCGTGGTTTGGGGAAAATCAGGCAGCTGGTTTGGTGTACACAGGACAAGCTCTGACTCATCCCACAGTCACTGTGCCACTGGGGCAGCCCAGGCCACGCTCCCACTGGGAAGCACAAGGGCTGTGTGGGCTCCACGTGTGCCCTCGTCCTGCTCACCACCAACTCAGGGCACTGCCAGCAAACTAGCAGTGCCAGAAGAATCCCAGATCACAGCATTTTTTATTTTATCAAGCTTTATGGAATTCTCATCACAGTTCAGGCACAGCTTCATGGACCTCTGGGGTGGCAAAGCTCACCCTTCAGCCCAGAGCAGAATCTCTGCCAAAGCCAGACCTGTGGTTTTGTTCAGATCCAAGGCTGGAGGGTCTCCTAGCCCTGCAATCAGTCCCTCTCCAGCTTTCTTGGAGCCCCTCTAGGCACTGGAAGGGGCTTTAAAGTCTCCCTGGAGCCTTCTCTTCTCCAGGTTGAATATTCCCAGGTCTCCCAGTCTGTGGCCACAGGTGAATGTGGATTCCTGCTTTTCCTCCAGAAGCAAAGTGAGGCCCTTCGGTAAGTCAGTCGAACTCAAACAGAGCCTCATCCCAACCCCTCCTGGAAGGGAACTTGGGTGCTGTTTCCCATCCTATTCATCTGCTTCCTCTTCCACTGTGAGGCTGTTGAAAAGCACTAATGAGCCATTGCCTCGTCACACTCTGCTCCAGCACCAGCCCTGCATTCCCCAGCTCTCTCCCTTCCAATTCTTCCTACCACAGCTGGAATTAATAAAAAATGTATTTCAACAGAACTTGCAGAATGAAAAGTGGCTGTTTGAACTGCAGCCTACCTAAAACTGCAGGAAACTATTCCCTCTTTGGATTTTCAAAGCTCTTCAAAGTGGTCTTTAAAGTGGCATTAAAGGCACTTCGCTGGGATGAAAACACTGCTCCTTCTTTCCATGAGCAGTGCTAACATTCCCAATCCAAGTTCCAGTCCCTCCTCCAGCTGCCTGCAAGTTTCCATCACCTCTCATTATGTCAGCAGACCACTAAGTTTATATTTAGGAACTGAAGTAGCCCATGGAGCACGAGCACCAAAAGATTGAAAATTCACATTTCATGTGCATCACCAGCAATTTCAGCCCATAAAGGGGTAAAGCCTGAAACTATAAATGAGCTAGAGAAAAACCACAAGGCCTCTGGGAAAAAAAATGATTCTTTATTTGTGATTAAGTGGAGGAAAGGATTTGGCTGGTAATGAAACGAAAGCACAAGGATCAGCTCCTCTCTTTGAGGAGCATGTGCTGTTGAAGCTCTGCTGCTCCCAGCCCTAAAGATACACAGACACCATCCCAATTATTGATTTTTAGTTCTGCGAGTCTTTGATTAGACAATTATTCACCAGACCTTACCCTGTGCTGAGCATTTGTCAAGACCTGCCCTCTCCCACTCACCGGGTGATGCTCTGAGAGGCTGGAAAGGGCTGTGACACCAACAAACTGAGCCCACAAGTCCCCCACAAAGGGAATTTTCAGGAAGTCACAACAAGCACGAGCACAAAGAAACAACAGTTGAAACTACTGCTCAGTTTCTGCTCTTGCAAATGCCTGCTATCACAGGAAATAGTCAATAATTTACAATTCTATGATAAATGAGCAAGAGAAGAATCTTCAAAATATTGGCTGCTGAAAGGAGAATCCTTAAAAAAATGGAAATCACAAATCCTGGTGGTTTGGGGTTTTTTCCCTGGAGCATTGAACTATTTCAGTACCAAAGAGGGATGTTAGAGTAGTTTGGGGGAGGAAAAAAAAAGCAAAATAAACCATCAAACCAAGCTCCCCCAAACCCACGGACACCCTGGATCCAGCTGAGTTCCTACACCCTGACTTTGGACAGCATAAATCCACTCCCTGGAGCTCATTTCCACCAAGACTGTTGTCTGTTCCCACTAACTTATTTTAATACATTGGCAAACTCATATTTAATGCTTGTTTATGGAGAAAATCATGTTTTATATTTCAAAAAGAACATTTTTATCAGCAGTGCATTAACTGGGTTTATTACCTAAATCCAGTAATGTGTTCCCTAGGCCAGACTCCTTCAAATCCTCATGGATTTGTGTTTTAATGACCCACTCAGGAAGGGCAGAATCAAAATGCCTGAGCCAGCAGTTTTCCTGCCTTGAAATTTTCTGGATATCCACATCAAACCTCGTACTGCTTCTTAATAACTGATTTATTATCAAGTAAGTGCTACATTTTTATTAATACATTTAAAAATGCCTCATATATGCCTCAGCATCAACCAGTTTAGCTGAGCTTTTTACTGTTCATTAAGATCTTGCAGAGTCCTAATACTCTGTATGAATTCCATCTGTGATGTTCTAGCTGTGTTTTCTCCATAAAATGTCCGCTATTTCAAGTTTCACTGCAAATTTTCAATTCTCTTTATAAACATAAACAAGCAGCTTCCAAAATATTCCTTTGAAGTGGAGAGGGATAAAAAAAAAAAGACAACCCCAGAGATGGTAGGTCTTGGTTAGGTCTCACATCAATGCCAGCAGTGAAAATTAATAAATAAAAGAGCATGGATAAAGCTTTTTCAGAATATTCTAACATTTCAGGTTGATTTCAAGAGCTTTCCCTTCCAATTATGTCACATGAAAGTGAAAAATGGGAATTTAGTTCAACAAATCCCATGTGTTTTTCTCCTCAAAACCATAACTCCCTAGTTGTTCGTATTAACACTGAATTCCCAGAGCAGCAGAGCCGGTGAGAGATGGATTCCAAATGTCTGGATCCCAAACGCCCTCCCCAGGTTAACTCGGAGGAGGAGCCTGGATGAAAGGAGCAATTTTGGAAGGGAGCTCAAAGCTCATCTTGTTCCACCCCCTGCCATGGGCAGGGACACCTTCCACTGGACCAGGTTGCTCCAAGCCCCATCCAACTTGGCCTTGGACACTTCCAGGGAAATGCAGAGACTAAACTGTAGAACAAATTCCACCGGTGGTGCTGACATGGATATAAATCCAGGATTTGTGGGGCCAGAGTGAAGCACTTACAGGGGGGACTTCCATCAACTTCTCTTTTGGTAGAGCTGGCTGAGCTCTGCTGATGACACACCACCAAAAGCACAGTCTGTGCCCTCCCCTCCCGGGATTCTCTGGCAGCAGGAGAACAGAAACTGGAACTGAAGTCCCGGGAAGGACTTGGGAGCTGCTGCTCCACTGAGGAACCAACCCCACAAACCCCCTGTGATCCTGAGTCACCTGGGGCTGGGCCAGTGGGGAGCAGGGAAAGGCTCTTCTGATTGCCCTCTGCACCTGCTGTCACCTCCCCAGGAAGCTGCACTACCCTGGCTGGCTGGCTGGTCCCTGCAGTCTCACATCTGAGATCTTCGCAGGCACTGAAGGAGCAGCAAAACTCCTTCATGGTGCCCATCCCTGAGACCCCCTGCTTTAAACCTGACCCCACACACTGAGCATAAGGCAGGCTGGGAACTGCTGTGCCAATCTGATGACTCAGAGCTGTGCCCAGAACAGCACAACCTCTAGATGTGTTTCCAAGGTCTTAAAATATCCCTGAGCCAGTGCTGTGAATGCAAGAGAAAATGACTCAGGAGATACCAATATAAATCATCTTTTTATAACGAGTTATTGTCTCTACAGAGCTCCCAAGATACTAGAATTTATATTATTATAATTTCAAGTGCTGTCACTGTTCTTGCAGTTTTCAAGAGGACACACAATCAAGGGCAAATCATTAGAGAGTCTCCTGTTTAATGACTCTAAAGGAGCCTGGCTTGGCTGCTGTTCAGTCCTGAGAGGCAAAAGTCCTGCTCAGTCCTGTTCAGTCTTTTCTCAGTACCAGCCACAACTTCAGTGCTTTTAAAGACTTCTTTTTTTGGCATTTTTTCCCCTTGGAATTTTGCTAGAAACGTCCAAATTTTCTTACCCAATGTCTCCTTCTGCAGTTCACGGCACCTGCTCTGGAGCTCGTTCCCTTGCTGAAGGGAAGTTTGGAGCTGTTGGGTTTTCAGCTCAACTGTGTCAGCCACCCCTGTCAGGTGTTTGACCTTCTCCTGCAGACATTCGTTCTCCCTCTGGGATTTTGCCAATCTTTGATTCAATTTGGGTATTTCTGAGGAGGAAACAAGAAATTGTAAAAGCTGTTGTCAAATTTACCTTCCCCACTAAAAATATGACACCTGTTTTTTTGACCGCAGGACTTCAGTACTCATAGAATCATGGAATGGTTTGGGTTGGGAGGAACCTCAAAGCCCATTCAGTCCCACCCCCTGCCATGGGCAGGGACACCTCCCACTAGCCCAAGTTGCTCCAAGCCCTGTCCAACCTGGCCTTGGACACTCCCAGGGATGGGGCAGCCACAGCTTCTCTGTCCAACCTGTGCCAGGGCCTCACCACCCTCACAGCCAGGAATTCCTTCCCAATATCCCATCTAACCCTGCCCTCTGGCAGTGGGAAGCCATTCCCTGTGTCCTGTCCCTCCATCCCTTGTCCCAAGTCCATCTCCAGCTCTCCTGGAGCCCCTTTAGGCCCTGCAAGGGGCTCTCAGGTCTCCCTGGAGCCTTTTCCAGGTCAACACCCCGAGCTCTCCCAGCCTGGCTCCAGAGGGGTTCCAGCCCTGGGAACATCATTATTTCTTAAACAATTATGCTACAACTCTTTTGGAAGTGATAGAAATACTTACCAACATTTTAAACACCAATAATAGACTTACTCTGAGCTGTGATTGCAACACAAAGACTTGGAGACATTTTCACTTGCCTTGTGTCTCCTACTACCAGTTTTTCTCACTGTGTTACACACAGGAGACTGCAGGGTGATGGTATAACATCCTTTTGGGAGCTGCTGGAGGGTCCTGCAGTGTTGCCTCCCAAATGTGTGGAGAGGCTGCACCCCTTCCCTTGGCCAACCTACTGCTTTATTCCTCAGGTCACCTTGAATTCACGAGCAAACCTACACCCAACACGCAGCAACTACTCCCTCCTCCCGTGTCTGAGTGAGAACAAGCCATACCCAAATCCAGCTGGTTTTATCTGAGAGGTCTTTGGGATTGAAGGGGCACAGAGCAGCCCACAGGCTGGGAATAACTCCCTTGGCCACACCCTGCTTCCTGCTGGAACAAGGGTGTCCTTCAGGAGCAGAGAGCTGGGCACAATCAGGGGTTGTTTGGGAAGGGTCGTGCCCAGCCCCCAGGCTGGGAACACAAACTGATCCCTGGGCACTGGTTCTGCTCTGCCTCAGATGAGGTTAGTTTTGCTGAAAGAGTCTGTAGTAGTGTGATTAGGGACTGGAACACCCAGAGCACCCAAAGAGGCCCTGTACTGACTGCTACAGCTTTAGAGGCCTGGGGAAATAATATTTACAGGTGAATTCCTTCCCTTCCAGTTTTTCAGTGTGTGTGAGAGGACAAGTTGCTGTGTCACAGCATTACAGAATATCCTGAGTTGGAAGGGACCTACAAGGATAAGTCCAACTGCTGGCCCTGCACAGGACACCCCAACAACCCCACCACGTGCCTGAGAGCCTTGTCCAAACTCCTTGAGCTCTGGGGGTCAGTCTGATCAGGGGTCTAAGGTCCAAAGAAGTAGGTGAGCTGCTGTCATCCTTTCCATCATGCTTCCCATCCTTGGGAGAGGGGAGGTAAGGGCAGGGTGGGTGATGTGCCTCTCCCACACTGCTCTGCCCCTGAGAACTCCAGTGCAAAGCCACAGCTTGAGTGAAACCTGTGTGTGTGGAGCAGCTCAGAAAATGGGGCTTTCTCTGCTATCCCAGCTGCCCAGCAGCCTGTGCTTCCTGTGACACTGGCAGGGAATTGGGATGTTTTCAATGATGGCTTTGTTCCCGCTGGGAAGGAATCAGGGGGCAGCTGTGCCTGGGGGGAGCAGGCACGAACCCACTGAGCAGCACAGGCAGAGCTGGGGGGTCCTGAGCCCCCAAGGGAGAGTTGGAGGGTCCTGAGCCCCAAATCAGGGGCTCTTCCCTGCTGGAGATGCGCGTGACCAGAAACCCCCTCCTTAGTACTCACTGTTTGTAAGAACAATCAGTGTATCAGTGTCAGAATGTTGGGATTCATGAGTCACCTCCTCTGAGCACAGGAAGGATGGTGTGTCCTGAGGATCCCTCTCTTCCTGTGCTCATTCCCTGCCTACTTCTGCTAATAAAGGCAATGTGAACGTGTTCCTGCAGACATCTGCAGGCTCAAAGAGAGCCACACATTTCCAGGCTTCTTTTCTGGAGTACTCCCTGGTTTATTTGTGTAATACTCCAAATACACGGAGTTTCTGTATGGAAGCAGGAGTGGTGCCATTCTTACACATCCCTCATCCAACATATCCCACTTGAGCCTGGTGAATACTGTGACTGTGAACATTAAATCCATCCTTAAATCCAGCTTTCTAAATCAAAACAGTTTAGTTTCACATATTTTTTTGGCCTGTGAATGCCATTTAAAAGCTTTTATGTTCTGTTGTATCAGTTGTTCACGATTAACATATGATATTAACATACAGTAATTTTTTTTGTTTATTTTACTGTTTTTGCAGCAAGCTTTTCAGAACATTCAGATTTTGGGACAAAAAATGCTACAGAGGGGCTGCTCTTTCGACCAGTTTTGTTTGGTTAGCTTGAAAACAGTTTCTGAAAGCTCTTATATATGTACTTTAACTAGCCCTGGTTAATGAATGGCAAGTAGGAAACAGTATAAGATATCAAATCTTTTGGTATTTACATCATTTAGTCTCACAGTAAATGGATTTAAGTGTGGAGTAGTTGGGAAAGATTATAGATAATGAAAATATCTGCACCACAGAAAGTGTTTAAAATTTGCATATAAAACATGTACCAACTGCCTTGACAGTGGAGTTAGGCTTGGTCTAACTTGACTGTTGTCAAGATCAATGAAAATATAAGTGATGTAAGTTCTTCATCTAATGAATTTTTACATTCTCATTGACACTCAACTACCAAAAATTATTTTCTTCTGCCCCAAATTCTTGTAAGATGCTTTACCTGTCAGAGCCTCTTTGCTCACAGTTTTTATCTGCAGAGAAATTTCTTCTTTCATGGCAGCCCAGTTCTCCAGGTTAGTGGAGATGACCTCTTTAATGCTGTCCAGCTCACTTCTGATGAAAGGGAACAGGGAGACAGCCTTGTTCAGAGTTGAGCAATGGTGTTCCAAGGTACTTCTGTAAGAGAGAACACAATACCAGAGGTGTATTTTAAAAATAATTTATATAATAAACTTAGGACTCAGAGGAAACTTGACAACTATTCCTCTGAGATATGATAATTTATACTACATTACTATATGAAATATCTTGTATTAGGTATTGAATTAGGTATTTATAAGTTTCTCCCTTCTAAATGTTGATTTAGAGCTTTTATGTATAAATGAAGAAAACTAGACAGGCAATTGTACAATCATTTTTTATTGGGAAATCACAGTAATCATGTTTAAATGACTATGGCCAAGCCTATGGTGGGTCTTTATAAACAATATATAAGTAAGAAACAGCATTTCCAACACCAGCATTTGTTTTTGGGTTCTTACCTGAGCACCTGGGATTGTTTGTAGGCCGCTTCCTTCTCCTCCTGGAAATACTGCAAATCAGCTTTCACATTTTTAAACTCCTCTTGCTTGGTTTTCAGTTCCATTGTCAGGCTTTTTATTCTAGAGATGTAAATAAAACAATCAGAAAGTCTTATTTGCCCTAGTAAACAACCTCTAACTTTTGTTTCAGCTTTAAATTAAATGGAATTGAATCCCAGACTGGTTTGGGTTGGAAGGGACCTCAAAGCCCATCCAGTCCCACCCCCTGCCATGGGCAGGCACACCTTCCACTAGCCCAGGTTGCTCCAACCTGGCCTTGGACACTCCCAGAGGTGGGGCAGCCACAGCTTTTCAAAGGTGATAATCACATATTTCACACAACCATCAGTCTCCAAATGGGGAGAATTTGCCCTTGGTTTCACACCCCTGACCATGGAATTGTTTTCATGCTTCTTTCTCCTGGATCTTCCCCGGTGCTTCACAGCAGCACCTGATGGGTTCTTAAATGACAATGCAGGTGACAATTTTGAGCATTTTACTTCAAAGCTGACACCAAAAAAGATCTTAAAACTGGGGGCAGGACAACCTTGCTGTTATCTGGACTCAGCAGCACACTGTGTACCCTCCCTCCTACTAAAGATGGCCTGTGCAGGTCCCCTCCAACCCAAACCATTCCGTGATTGGCAATTCTTTACACACCTTTTGAAAAGCCGCCCCATGACAAGACACAGGACACCCAACCAGTGTTTCTTTCACCCCCCTCAGTGCTCACAGGAGAGGAGGAGGAGGGTGGTGTCCCCTGGGAAGTACGGGGAGCTCTCCATCCCTCCCCCAGCTCCCTGCTGGATCAGCCACAGCAAACACAGCCCCAAACATCGACCTCGAGCTGTTCTTCACCTCAAACATTTACCTTCTGAACCTTCTCATTACAGCACCTTTCCTTTGCCAAGCCCAGCTATCACAGTGCAAATAAACACAGTTTAAACACTGTTCTTTCAACACCTCGGGAATTATTCCCACGATTGTCATGGAATGAATGGAAGTGCCCAGGAATAAGAGTTGGAGCCAGTTCCCCTCCCGTGGTACCCGTGAAGGAAGGATCCCACACAGCAGCTCAGCCCCAGCTGCAGCACAGCTGTTGGCGGCAGAAAACCATCCTAAACCAGCCTTCCATCCCCAAAATACAACTCCAGTGACAGGAACTGCTACAAACCAGCCTCTTTCGAAGCTTTCAACGCTCACTGGTCATGCAGAGTAAATGATCCATTTCCCTACTGGTGACTCACTGTCACAAGTAAATAAATAGTATTTGAATCAATAAATATTTTACAAACCCAAAGGGTGGCAGAAGCCTTGGCTTCAGTTGTAAAAAGCAACAGAAAATGAAAATGATTTATAATAAAAAATATATTAAAATTAAGACAAAGCATCAAAGTGCTTTAGTTACTGTTACACACAGATGAGCACATTTGCATCAAAACACAAATTTTAAGAAATATGAGTCCTGATAAAGAAACTTGGATCTGCAGGGCTCTGACAAAATCAGAACTGAACTTCTGGGAGTTAAAAATAAAGTTTTTGGGCTGAAGTATGATCACTGGGAAAAAAAAAACAACTCCAAAAATAATTAAAAATTTGAAGAAATTTCTGATATTACCTTTTTAGGAAAATTTCCCCAGAAGTGGAGGCTGGAGGGGAGAGAATCAATCTGTTTGATTGCATTTGGGAGCAGAACTGTTCCACTAACAAGGAAATGTCCATCCCCCCTACAGCTACAGAAATTCAAATCTACTTTTGCAGATGAGGAAAAAAGCAGTGATTTAGCACTGAACAACAACAAACCAAAACTTTAGGATCCAGGGAAAACCGGATGCTCATTTTCCATTCTTAGTCTAGAATGGGATATTTGAAGGTCTTTAGGTTTAAGAAAGAAACTGGTAAATAATCACAGACACATTTTCTTCCTCTTTCCATCGCAGAGCCCTGATATAATAAAAGGGACATTTTCAGCATGTTCTGGTCAGTCCCACACAAAAGCACCCGTGGAAAAGGCAGGACAGTTGCACTCTCCTGGCACCAGGAGGGAGCAAAATAAACATGTTATTTTGGTGCTTTTTAGCACAAAGGAAAAGTTCCATGGGTCATTAACTGCTGGCATTGAGAGAATGGTGGGAACACACTGAGCTCATCCTCTGCCCCACAGTTCAGCCGGCAGAATTCACAGCCCATCTCTGCACCCCGGCTTTCCTGGGGAGTACAGGAGAGATCCTGCCCGGGGCGGGAGGGCAATCAGGACGTGGTAACTCCCAGTGCTGACAGGAGAAGAATGGAGGAGAAAATCAAGAAGGAGTTGCAAACACAGTCATTGTCCTAAAGCAATGACAGCAGCAATTACCCTGTTTGTTGGGATTCAGGGCGTCTCTCACAAGTCCAGATCAGAATAAATCATCTTGGTACTCCCTGTGATTCCCAGTGGGACTGGAGGAGCACCAGCATCCCCAGTTGCCTGGAGCCAGCAGGGACAGGAGGCTCAGAGAGCCTGGAACATCCTGCCCCAAAAAAGTTCCACCACGGTATTTTCAGTTCCCTGAAACTGCAGGATCTGCTCAGACCCAACAGCTGCTCATTTTGATTCCAGATGATGCCCAGGGCAGTGGTGGTGTCTCCATCCCTGGAGGTGTTCAGAAAACTTGTGGATGTGGTACCTGAGGACATCCTTAGCACTTAAATGTATTTTACATTTCTTGGATGTGGCAAGAATTACCCAAACTAAATTAACTATCACAATTAAACTGATTTTAACATGGAATAAGGTTTGAATAGCTAAGTGGAACTAACTACTGGTTAGCTCCCCTTCTTGTCCCCCAATCCCAAAGAACAGGTAACCAATCCCTGCCAAAGCTCCCGTTCCCAGGGGGCTTTCAAGGGTAACCACAGGTACAAACAACAGCAAACCTGAACCTAAAAGGAATATAAAAATGAAACAGTCTGAACTGACAAGAAAGATTAAATCCATTGGTCTCCCAGAGATAAAATTTAAAAAAGGGGATATTTGGCTTCTGGGAGGAATAATTTGTCAGCCTTGCCAGACCCAGAAATGAGGATGGTGAATAGTGACTTAATGCCAACAGCACAAGGTAGTGAGAGAGGCCCAGAATAGTGAAGAGAAGATAAGGAATATTTAGACAAGTTATTTAACAAGGCACAACAGTTGATTTATGGCTGGAGAGTGGGAGCCTACTGCAAGTATTGCACTTGATTTCAGCAGCTTTTAAATCAAGTCAAGCCTCAGGGGGGGAAAGTGCAGAGATAAAAATTTTTATTAACTGTTCCAGCTTTACTACAAAGAGGCAGCTCAATGAAAATTTCAAGTTTAGCTCTGGCAAATGATCCTCCCCAAGAAGAATGTGCTGTCACTGCATTTGCTCACACACCGAATTCTGCCACCCAGGGTCGTTAAAGGGACAAGGAGTAAACAGCTCTTTAAAAACATGATGTTAAACCAAAGAAAACATTGAATATTGGGAAGGGGGGTGGGTGGAGGATGTTCAGTTTAAATGAAAAAAATATTGCAAGAAACATTATGAGCACAGTGATCTACAACATAAACACGTTTTGTTCAAATTTGTGGGAGCTTGTGCTCTAAGATCAATGTGCTATTAGTAACATTAGCAAACACAAGCCTAACTAAATCCCTTAATAGAAACATTACATTCTTAACGGTATTTGAGTGATTCTGAAAAACAAAAAAAGTAGGTTTCCAAAGCATTCCAGTCCAATCTCTGGAGCACCTTAACACTCAAAATGCCCATGTCACCAGTTCTGGGTCACTTGATGTGAGCAAACATGGAAGGAACACTCCCACTGGGGGTCCCAAAAATCAAAATGGCTGAGCTGGTAATTAAAGTTACAATCTCACTCTTACAAAAAGCTGCTGACAAACAGTTTGATTTAGATGAGCAAGAAATTACCAAGAAGTTTCTGGTGGCCTTGATGTCCCTCTTTATTCCATCAGTTGTCAACTTGGGCAGTTGCACTTTTATAAAGTATCTTTTATTAGTGGACTATAAATATTGTTTATAGTCCTACTGTAATCAACTAGTGGAATATAATGGTAGATTCCAAAATATGAGGACAGAAAAGGATACACAACCTGTAAGCATGAGCTGAAAGAACACACTTAAAGGTTCTAATCACTGTGCCCTGGAAATCCCAACATGGCTCTGAGGTCTGTCATTCATTACTGGAGTTCTTAAGGGAATTAATTGGAACCTTCACGTATCTGTCTGCAAGGATTTGCAGACTCCAGCTCCTGGAGAACAGTGTCACAAGCAGGACCCAAAATGTTCATAATTCCTTTAGTATCAGCCCTTTAGAGAGTGAAGCCTGAGCTTCTGAGGGCAACAACACTGGGAATTCTTTCCCAGGTTACTATGAGACAATCAGTCAAACTCTCACAACTGTGAAACTCCCAGTACTGTGCCATTTCATTTCAAATATTACAATTTGATTACAAGATGATAAGGTGAAATATTTCCAATTTCTATTTGGAAGTGTGTGCAGGGGAAATACCTCCAAGTGCCTTCTTGGGCTCTCTCTCACTTTAAATGTATGGACTGTTTCTAAACCAGGAAGGAATTTTAGACTTGCTTCCAAGGAACACTGTGAAAGATGATTTCAATAAAGTATCCCAGTATCATATCATATCACAAAGTATCATAGATGATGCATCTGATAAAAGATTCAGTGATCCCCGTGGGTCTGTTCCAACCCAGCATATTCTGTGATTCTGTTATCTGTGTTTTAAACTTCTTTGGGATGAAAGTCCCTAATAAGCTGCAGGGGAATGTCAGCAGAGAAGATGATGAGCTCTGACCTTTCACTTTTGGACTCACTGGCAGCTCGGTAGCGCTCCAGGTCTCGGTACAGGGCCTGTAGTTCAGCCTGGAGCCTCTGCTCCCGTTCGATGCTTCCTTCATAAAACTTTATCTCCTTTTCCATTGCTTTGACTTTCTCTTCCATCACCTTAAACTCGTGGAGGATCAGGTAGCTGACCCCGCAGTATTTACACACCGTCTCATCCCGGGACATCTGGAAAGACAGGAAATGGTAAAACTGTTTGTGAGGAACACACTGAACAAAAAAACCCTGAGTGACACTAAGTAACAATAGTAAATCTGAGTCATTTAAACCATTTCATTCTCTAGAGCATTTATGATCAGATGATGTTATTGCTTTAACAAATAATAAAGAAAAATTCTGCATTAGGAAATGAACCCAAGCTACAGCAGTGCTTTGCCTTACTGGAAACTTCACAGGATGTATCAAGCCTGGCAATTTAATATGTGGGAACTCCCACTGGAATTCTAAAGTACCTCTGAGCTATGTTTGGTGTATTAATTGAAAATAAAACTCTGTGTTTAACAAAGTTATCTCCTTAATGAATCTGTGATCGCTTGAGCCAGAAAAATGTTATTTCCTGTGGTTTTCTGGCAACTGGTGTCCGAGTGAAGCAGGCAAGAAAAGTGGGGAGTGAACAAAGTGATGTAAGCCAGCAATCTGTACACAAATAATTGCAGTGAGTAAGGGATTAATGAGGATGAGGTAGTGTCCATGGCACTGCAGTGCTGTGGAAAACAGAACCCGTTTGTAGGTATGAAATATTCACGGCTGATTACAAACTACAGAGTATGTAACACACAGCTCATGGAAAGACCCTTTATCAACTGAGAAATGTGATTTTCTAAGGGATCAATCATTAATCCTGAAGCAGGGGACACGTAGCACCTGCTCACCAGCACAGAGCCCTGACTCTGACAGGTTTGCCCCTGGCTGGGGGATAAATTCAGCATAAATTCACTGGAGAGGGAAGAGATGGTGAGAATCAAGACTAGGTCAGAGGACACTCAGACACAGCCGAGAGACCCCTCAGAGCAAGGGGTAGGAAAAGCTCTTGGCAAACTTGGAGATATGGAAGATGGACCATGGGTGGCAGCTGGAAGAGCCACTGTATGTCTGAGAGACTCAAACACACTTCAACCTTTCTTCAGTTATTTTTTCTTGCATAACTGCCAACTGCTATAGGGATTCCAACAGTGAATTATCAAAATCAGAGAGGTGAAAAACTGCAAACAGCTGAAGTCAAATTAAGAATCCCTTGTTTCACACAAGAAGAAAAATAGAGATATTTTGAGACACTGGGATAAATGGAAAGAAATTGGACTTAGAGGAAAGAAAGCAGCTTTCAAAAATCATAAATTAAAGGCTCATTATCCCATGATTCAACAATCTTTAGCACTTTAAATATAGCTTGATAAAAATGGTATTTCAGGATGCCCTGGCCAAGCTTTATTTTCCCATTTCTTCTTAAGTGTTGCCCCAGTTTAAAACACCCCTGGTTACAGTTGCTCTGAAGGAGTCGAAAATGCAAGTTTATTTTTCCTGGCAGCTGCAAACTGTGCTTGGAAATATGAAACTGTTATTCAGGATAACTACCATAAAGTTCCAAAGCACTGAAATTACTATATTGAAAAAGGACAAAATGAGCTGCTTTAGGGAGCACAGGAGGGGTTTCTTATCCCAGAGAGAACATGGTGCTCTTGTGCTGCCCTGCAAATAAACAGTGCTTGGAATTTCACTGGGTTCTGGGACTGAAAACAACTCAAAATCATCGGGGGCCTGACCTGCAAATGCTCTGTGCAAGTACTAAACCTTCCTAATTTTTACTTTTTTTGTTATTGAACTTCAAAATAAATAAAGTCATGGAACAAACAAATATTATCTCCCTGGGCTCAGCTGGAAGTGGGTCCTGTCCTCCTTCACACCCATTCCTCAGGTGAAGTAAAAACCTGGAAGGATTCCAGAGCAGGTTGCATTTTTCAAGTATTTGCCATATAGTCAAAAAATAACAGAAAAGGAAATTCTACCTTAATCAGGACCTTGCTCTGTACGTTCATAATTACCCTGCAAGCACTGCAATACACACAAGTCTGTAGGAAACAAATTTTCCTTAGTTCTTACACTTACAAACAACCTTTTCTGGAATAATTTGATTGCTGAGTAACCACTAAGAATGTGTGTTAAATACCCAGTGATTTATGTTTTCAGATTCCATATTTCACTGTTTCCATTTGATCAAAACACAGTGGTCTTCTTAATTCAAAGCAGAAAAAAAAATCGGGGAAAAACACTTTGGAAGGAATAGAAAAGGAAACTATCAGAGCTCTGAGTAGGAGCTCTTGTATTTCCTGAGCAGTGAGGGGAAGCAGTGAAGAGAAAAAAATCGATGAGGAATTAAACAAACAAACTCACTGAGGACAAAGTGCTTGAAGTAGGAAGATATTTATCCACAGGATTTTGAGCCACAGTTGTGACACACGTTACACCAGATGCTTTAAAGCATCTGCACTTGGGTTTAGAAGCATTGATATTATTCTATGGTTACAAAGATTTCTTTAGATACCAAGGCCAATGGAAAGCTGAGCCAAGAGGGATAATCACTCAAATTACATCTGTCTGACTCGGCTCCATTTGTAGAACGTAAGTTATAAGGGAAAAAAGGAAAAAAAATTGGTGGTCTGGACCATTTTTAGCCTTCTGAGTGAGGAGACAGGAACTGATACCATTTTGAGTTGACCAAGCAGCTCCAGGGTGTGTCAGCCTGTGCACCACTTCTTCTGCTCTGATATTGCAGATCCACCCACAGGAATCACCCCAGTGAAGAGCTGAGCTGTATTCAAAGCAAAACGAGCTCCTTTCTCACTTAGCAGGGCTTTGGGATTACAGCATCCAGCACGTGGAATTGTTTGGTGTGGAAAAGCCCTATCAGAGCATCGAGTCCAACCATCCCCCAGCACTGCCAAGGCCACCAGTGACCATGTCCCCAAGTGCCACACCCACACCTTTTTGGAAGCCTCCAGGGTTGGGGACTCCACCACTTTGTGGGCAGCTGTGCCAGGGCTGGACAGCCCTTTTGGTGAAGAAACTCCTGGCAACACCCAGTGTTCCTCAGCCATGTAATGCTGCAGTGACAGCTCTTGCTACTTGGTGGATCTGGCAGGACTGACATTGCTCCAGCAAGGACTGGCCAAATAACAAAAATCTCTGTATTTGTCCAAACTAAACTTGTAGCTGAATCCATAAAACCCAAGGAAAAAAAATCATTATGCTGCAGCTGAGTGCTCTTAAATTATTTCTGTATGTTGTTTTATTCTACCTTATTATCCAATTTTACTTTCATTTTTGTTTCACTCCTCCTCTCCCACACCACTTTGATGTCCCTCTCCTACCAAACCAGCCAATCCCTGTTAACACAAAAAGAAATCATGACTCAAACCACACCATTGATTTTCTAGGAGTCTTCTGCTGGAAGAGTTATCTGATTGAAACTGATATTTGCTCTAGTCAAAGAAAGATTCTTAAGAATCCCAGAAATAACTTCACTTCTTTTAAAAGAAAAAAGTGTATTTTGAGCCAAGTTTTCAGTCAGCATCTACCCAAAAAGCAATCCAGCTGGTACTGCTGGGCCATGCTACAAACAGAATTATTAGCTCCACTTCCATAAAATCACAGTTGCAAAAAAATCCCAGTGCTCGATCTGAATACATATGAACAGAGTAGAAACAGGCTTGGAGTGAAACCAGAATGTGGCTTCATTCAAAACATGCCCTGAAATAATCAGTTTGTCACGGCAGGAAATAACACTCAGATTTCAGGTAGCTTGGATTTCTTCCTGCCTGTGAGGAAATCAGACTAATGAATCATAAAAGGCTGGAGTGCCCTGCTGGGAGCTGATCCCACTCACCCAACCCCTGTAAATGCACAACACGTGTCCCCAGCCCGGGCAGACCTTCCCGGGGCTCCGGAGCTCTGCCGGGATGTGTCACAGCACCTTCCAGCTGGAAGGGAACCACAAAGCATTGCATGACAAAACACACCAGACAAAGGGTAATTTGGCAGCTTTTCCCAAATTAACAGGTAACATTTCACTGTTGGGAGGACACAGGCTGGCACAGGGTGTCCACAGAAGCTGTGGCTGCCCCATCCCTGGAAGTGTCCAAGGCCAGGTTGGACGGGGCTTGGAGCCACCTGGGATAGTGGAAGGTGTCCCTGCCCATGGCAGGGGGTGGAACTGGGTGGGCTTTGAGGCCCCTTCCAACCCAAACTGTTCCATGATTTTCTGACATTTCCAAAGCACCTCACAGCCACTCAGAAAACTCCCAGAGCAGGAGCCTCACATCCCAGTGACACACAAACATTAGAAATTCTATAGCCAAGTGCTGAAACCCTCAGTGGAGCAACTTGGGAACATCATCCCCAGAAGAATTCACAAGGTGGGTGCCAAGAGGACACTGAAAAGGGCTCTGCCATTCTACCACACTTATCTAGAGGGCACAAATTGAAATGATCTGCTTTTAAATGCCTGCTGGTACCAATATTGTACATCCTGAGCACGTTGTTCCCTCCCACCCAGCGAGTCTTGATGGATGGGAGAGACTCTTTAGCTTACTAACACAGCTGGGACTACGTGTTCCAGAACCCATTAAAAACAAATAACCCTGTTCAAAGAGAGCAAGAAAAGTTAAAGATAACGTAATGTGCTCATAAAGATCCCATAATGGGCCCACTCTATGGCAGTCGTGGGAAGTGTGATGTGTAAGCACTGCTGCTCATGGTGTACATGGTATTTGTGGGCAGCCAGACACCACAGAACGTTCTGTACCCACGTGGAACAGCCTCAGAGTTCCTGCCCTGCCCCATCTCCGGAGCTCCTGGGGTGACAGAATGGGTATCCTGTGCCCCATTAATTTTAGGATTTACGCCAGCAAAGATCATTTATTTGCCAAATAAAATATGAAATTAAATATAACTTTTTGTTTGAGGACTTGGGGTCATTTGGTTGCTGTTCTGTTTCCTGTTTCAAAGCTGCACCTTCCCATCAACTTCCACAGACTTGACAACAGCAGAACCTTAATTAAAGTTCACCAGCACGAAAAAGGTTCCTCTACCACCAAGGTGAAATATGAAAGTCTTGAGGAAAAATTAAACTAACCAAACAAACCAAAACACCAACCAAACAGAAAAACCAGAACTCCCCTACAACACACATCCACGACACTGGAGTGAAGGAAGCACTAACTCCTTCTGTCCCCTCCTGGGCTGAGGTTGATGGCAGAAACTCTAAGACACATAAATACATCACAATTAGGCATCACAAGCCAGTGATGTAGATCTTTACCAACAATTAGTTTCTAAGAAGTATGCAACTGTAAATACAAAAAAAAAAAAAATATCCTGTAGGCTTTAATACTGGGCATGTGGATGTTTAGCTGTTGATTTTTTTTTTCACCCATCTTGCAATGAATTTGGTGAGAAAGAGCTGTGAGAGCGGTAGAAGGAGTGAGAAAGAGAGCAAAGCATGTACAATTTTTACATGATTCTCTAAGGCAGAATTGGTCAGAACACGAAGAACCAAAGTCCCTTCACATTGCTTCATTAACAAGATACCAAGAAATCTCCTTCCCTCTAGATTAAAACTTCCTTTAAAATTTAATAAACAGTCTTGATAAGCAGCTTGTGGAGCTCCATCTACCAGGAACACGAGGGAGAGGGATGATGAGGGCTCTGCTCTGCATCCTTCCCTTGTCAGTACAACCCAACCTGCAGCAAACCAGCCCAAACCAACCCCCAGGAAGGGAATATTCTCCACTCTGAGGCTGAAATCCCTGTGCTTGACAGGCTCCCTCCACACACACGTGTTCCCTCGGCCTGCAAGCTGCATGTTGGGAGCATGTGCTCCCTTTGGCAGAGCAAAGCACAGCTGGCACCAGCTCTGCTTGGAGCAATCCGAGAGATTCCAGAAGAGAGGCTGCAAAATCCAACAGCAGAGAATGCGAAGGGAATGGGAACATGTGCACATAAAAGATGGGAGATACAAGGACAGGAAATTGTGAGAATGGCTTGTAATCAGGGCCTGTACCTTGTAACTGCAGTGCAGCTACAGCGCGAGGGGATGAGCAGCACCAAAGGATGTGTAAAACCCCGGCACTCTCTGATCCCAAAATCCGGGGCTGTCGTTGCCTTGGAGCTCACATATCCCACATGGAGTGGAGGGTAGGATGGGACAGGACCATAAGCCTGTTCTTGTACCAATCCAGAAATTCTGTGTCTTCCCATCAGATGTTTTTGTTAACCACACCCCCAGAAGTGGAGGGAGCTGGAAGGACTCCCTGCCCCATCCTCTACTCCGAGGGAAAAGTTTGCCCCCACAGTCCCACTGGAAGAATTCCAACACAACTCCCAAGGTGAGCTGTTCCAGTTCCATAGCATTCAACCAAAGCACATCCAGAAAGGTGAGGAAAAGCCTAATTTGCACCTGGAAATGAACCACCATCTCCCTACACGTGCAAACACTGTTGCTCAGGTATTCTGCAGAATGAGCAAAGCCAGCTCATCATCCTTTCACAGAAACACGAGGTTTTTAAGCTCTTTACTACTTTTGCTCTTTTCTAAATTCCCATCAGTCATATTATTTGTTTTACAGCAGCTCAGAACTGAAACCTCAACAGCCCTGAAGAGAGGATAACAAAGGCCCAAGTTTCACATGCAATTCCTATTACAACTACTAACATTACAATTATCAATATACTGCAACTATTAATATATTACAACTATTATTATATGACAATATATTAGGAGCCTCTTTCTTTGTAACATCCCTTTGCTAATATTATTCTCCTTATGACCTGATTACAGACCTCAGTGTTGTCTGACAAGTGACAAGGAGGTTACTATGGATTTTGCATTGATGCATTGGACTCACTTTTTTAAAATATGTCTTATTCTTACTAAGAATATGGAGTTCAGTGGTGTTCCCAGGGTGCTCCCAACCCCTCCCAGACTGGCACCAGCGTATTCCTCATCGTAATCCAAGATCCTGGCTCAGTGATAACCAGCAGACACAGACACTGCTGCTGACAGAATTAATGTCACTGCTTTTCTGTTCCTGCTTCCTCCCTGTGCTAGGGTATGCCTGACACAGGGATCAGGAACTGGCTCAGGAACTGATCCAAATCAGATACTGACAGCAAAAGTGCCACCAAACTGCAGCTTGAAGTCATTAAAGAAATATTGAGCAGTAACTAGATCCAGAACAATTCTCTCCTCCAACACTCTGGCATGAATGACTGTTTCTCTGAGGAGCCTGCACTGACTTTTGCTCCCCACCTTATCCTGCTGATGCTTAAAAACTAATTTCTAAGTCAACAAACATATTGGGATCTTTCCTGCTACCAAAACAGCTGCTCATGAGTCTCTAAGCATCCCAGGTTCTTCTCCTCCCCTTGTTTTAAGGGCAAATATTCCTTTTCCCTTCCACTGTCTATCTTACCCACCCTTGAATTCTCAGAAATCATCTCAGAAATTGTCTCAACAGTTTCCTGGACTACTCCAGGGAGGATTTCTCCAGCCTGAGTACACAAAGCTTTTAAATGACTTGTTAATTATGAGATGCAGACCAAGAAATGAGGACAGCTGGGTGTTTTATTGCTGAAGTAAAAACCCGATAGTGTTACAAGAAGTGACTCGTGTTCCACTTGAGTGGAGCCTCCTCCTAAATGAACCCACACAGACAGCAGCACTGTAACACTGGCAATAATCTGCCTGCCAAACAAAAGAACACACCAAGAGCAGATCCCCGGGAAGATGAAGGGGAATGTTCTGTTCCCGTTTGTGTTGATACTCCTTTGGAACATGTTATGCCCTCAGTCATTCCAAACTCACAGTAGCAAAACATGCCATAACAGGGGAAAATGTGGACTCACCTGGAGGGACAACACTGGGACAGAGAGAGGTGTTCTCTGGGACTCACCTGGAGGGACAACACCGGGACGGAGAGAGGTGTTCCTGAGACTCACCTGGAGTGAAAGCACCAGGACAGAGGGAGGTGTTCTCTGGGACTCACCTGCAGTGACTGAGGTGTTCCTGAGACTCACCTGGAGCGATTGAGGTGTTCCTGAGACTCACCTGGAGGGACAGAGGTGTTCTCTGGGCCTCACCTGCAGTGACAACACCATGGCAGACCAAGGTGTTCCTCTGCAGGGCTCCCACAGAATTAGTGTCGTTCCACTGCACAGAGAGTGATGACACCCAACACCCCCCCTAACTCAGGACCACCATGTACCAGACAATGCACCAGTGCCCCCAGGCCAGTGAAACACCCCTGAATTCCCGCGGGAGCTGCTCTCCAAACGTCGGGGGGTTTTGCCATCTCCACAGCTCGTACCTTGCGGATCTCCTCGGGCAGCGCGTGGACGGGGACGTGCCGCTCCATGTGCTGCCGCAGGCCCCGCGGCGAGGTCGGGAGCTGCCGGGCCGGGGCGGGGGACTGGGGCGGCCGGGGGCCCGTGCGGGGGGACCGGTAGGGGCGGGGGAGCGCGGCCGGGGGGGGCGCGGCGCCGCCGCCATCTTGTACCGCGGCGTCCCCGCTAACCGCAGGCACGGCGCGTGCGCGGCACGGCGGGCGTGGTAGTGAGGGGGCGAGCCCGGACACCCCAAATTCGGCAGTGACACCTCAAATCCAGCCCGGACCCCCAAATCAGGCACTCGATCACCGTCAATCCAGGCCGGACACCCCAAATCCAGCCCGGACACCCCAAATTCGGCACTGAGACCCCAAATCTAGCCCTGACACCCCAAATCTAGCCCGGACACCCCAGAGACAGCCTGGACACCCCAAATTCAGCCCTGACACCCTGAAACCAGCTCTGACATCCAAAATCCATCCCTGACACCCCAAAGCTGGTCACGGCACCTCAAAGACCCCCTGGACACTCCACACCTGGCCCTGACACCTCAGCTTTGACCGTGACATGCCAAATTCAGCCCTGCCACCGCAAACTTGGCCAAGCCACCCCTGACATGCCAAAGCCACCCCTGACACCCCACAACCTTCCATGACACCTCAAATTCAGCACTGACATCCTAAACCTGGCCCTGCCACTCCAAAAACACCCCTAACACCCCAAAGCCAGCTCTGCCACCCCAAATTCAGCCCTGCCACCCCAAATTAGTCCCTGCCACCCCACAGTTAGCCCTGCCACCCCAAATTAGTCCCTGACATCCCAAATCCAGCCCTGACACCCTAAAGCCATCCCTGAAACCCCAAAGACATCTCTGACATGCCAAAGCCACCCCTGACATCCCGAATTCAGGCCTGGCCCCCCAAAATCCCCCCTGACACCCTAAAAACATTCTCTACATGCCAAAGCCACCCCTGGCATCCCAAATTCAGTCCTGACACCCCAAAGCCCCCTGTGACACTCCACAGCCATCCCTGAGCCCCCAAATTCGGCCCCAAGACCCCAAATTCATCCATGCCACCAGGGTCATCCGCGTGTCACACCCGAGGCACGAGCTCAACCTCGGGATGAACCGCCCGCGCCGCCAGCTCCCGATGGGATCCACTGGAGCGCGGCCGTAAAAATGAATAAATCAGGGAGAGATGGGAGGGAGAGGCGGGAGTTTGCAGTGGGATTCATTCCACATTCTGCCCTTCTTTCCATTGCTGGTGGGTTTCTGTTTCCTTCACAACCGAGCTGCTGTTAGGACTCAGCCTTATGGCACGGCAGGGACCATCTGCTCCGTCCCCAAATTTCCAGCCCGCCCAAAGCAATTCCTCCATCCCCAAAGTAACTCCTACACCCCCAAAGCAAATTCTACATTCCCAAAGCAATTCCTCTATCCCCAAAGCGTTTTCTGTACATCCAAGGCAATTCCTATACACCCAACTCATTCCCTAGGTGCTCAAAGTATTCCCTACAAGCCTTATACAAAATGATGCATCCGCAAAAACACAGTTTAGGGATACCCACGAAAAACTGGGAACAGGCCATGGCAAAAAAACGGGGTGACCTTGATTTAATTTATGCACGACTCGGTCGCAGCTGTGAAGGTTCAGTGTCTAGGGTGAAGCATCAGTGAGGTTGGAGGATGAAGAGGGGGAAAACAGGGGTTGGATTGAAGAAAGTAGTAAATTTTAGAGGAGAAAAGGAAAAATTTATTGGAAAAAAGAGGGAAGTTGCATGAGTAGGGGGTTGAAGAACATAGTGACTTTTATTGGAAGAAAAAGGGGGAATTTCATGAGTAGGGGCATTGGATTGAAGAAAATTGTGAATTTTATGGGGGGGGAAAGGAAAATTTTACTGGAATAAAAGGAAAATTGCATGAGTAGGGGGTTGGAATGAAGAAAATTGAAGTTTAGTGGGAGAAAAAGCAGAATTGCATGAATGAGGGGGTTGTTCAAAGGTGGTGGTGAATCTTAGGGGGGAAAGGAAAATTTTACCAGAATAAAAGGAAAATTGCATCAGTGGGGGGTTCAATTGAAGAAAATAGTGAGCTTTAGGGAGGAAAAAAAAGGCAAATTGGATGAGAAGGTGCTGTCACAACAGAGGGATGCGAAGTCGGGGGGGGGGTGTTGAGGACGAGGGAAAATTTCACTGGCACAAAGGGAAAACTGCAGGCGTAGGGGGTCGGATTGGTGGAAATTGTGTCTGAGTAGGGGGTTGGATTGATGAAGGCGGTGAGTTTTAGGGGGGGAAGAGGCAAATCGTGTGAGGAGGTGCTGCGGCAGGAGGGCTGCGGGGGCGGGCTCGGAGAGCAGTGCCCCGCTCGCCCCCCCGGGCTCCGTGCCACGCGTGTCCCCGGCGGGTTCCTCGCGTGCGGCTAATGTCGCCGCCGTGCCCCGTCCCACACGTTGCGTTGACCGAGCTCCGAGCCTGCGCTAATCCCTGCCTTTTGGGGCAGCCGCCGGCCGCCTCCTGCCCCGCTCCCCGCCTGACATTACCTCTTCGTGCTCCCCCGGCAGGCCGTGTCCTGTGTGTGATGTGTGGCTGCGGGCTTGTGTGTGTGCTGCTGTGTGTGTGTGTGTGTGTTGCGTGATATTTCTGATCGGTTGTGAAAGGGCGGCTCGCCCCCCGCGGGAGGGTCATTAATTAAGCTGTGATTATAAGGAGCTGGCGAGGGCCCCGCCTTTGGATGGCGCGGGGTCCTGCAGCGGGCTTCCGGCAGCGGCCTTGCCGGCATCTGTTCCCGCCAGTGCGTTTGATGGCGGCGGCGGGGGGGGCGCGGGCGGGGCGCCCGGCGGCTCTCACGCGATGTCGGGGCTGACGTGCCGGGGAAGGGGTGTCGTGAGGCGCGCCATGAGATCAGCGGATTCACCGCGGGCTGGCGGCGGGGGAGGGCAGGTGGGGAAGGCAGGCGGCAGGCACGCAGCGGCCGGGGGACTGGAGGGAGGGAGAGGAGGAGGGTGAGATGAGGGAGGGAGCGGTGGCTGCTGCATCCCAGCTTCCCCCCGGCCGTGCCCGCTGAGGGGGGACTGAAGGGAGGCTTGGGCAGAGGGACCTGAAGGGATCCAGTCCGGGGGGTGCCCAGTTCTTAGGGGCTGAAAGGGAGCCTGGCAAGAGGGACCTGAGGAGATCTGATCCTGGGGTGACTGTGCTTGAGGGGCCCGAGAGGAGCCTCTGCTGGGGGAGCGGATAAGGGGATCGGGTCCTGGGGGGACTGAGGGGAGTCTGTCCCAGAGGGACCAGCTGAGGGGATCCATTACCAGGGGGGATTCTGTGCTTGGAGGGGCTGGGGGGAGTCTGTGCTGGAGGGATGCGAAGAGGATCCAGTCCTGGAGTGGGGGTAAGGGGATCCAGTCCTGGGGAAAATGGAGGCGATCCTGTTCTTGGGAAGCTGAGGGGAGCTTGGACAGAGGGGATGCTGTCCTTTGGGAAGGTTGAGAGGAGCCTGTGCTGGGGGGCCTGAATCCTGGGGGAAATGGAGGTGATCCTGTGCTTGGGGAGGCTGAAGGGGGGCTTGTCCCAGAGGGACCTGAGGGGATCCAGTACTGGAGGAATCATGTTCTTAGGGAGGCTGAAGGGGAGTGCATGAGGGGATCCAGTCCTGGGGGGACTGATGAGAGTCTGTCCTTGAGGGGGCTGAAGGGAGCCTGTCCTGGGGGTCTGAGGAGATCCAGTCATGGGGGTGAGAAGCCCCTGTCCTGGCAGAGTGGAGAGCCTGGCAGGGGCCGTGCTGCTGCCAGCTGGGACGCTCCCAGGCCGGCGCCCTGTGGGAAGCAGAGCATGGGAGACGCTGCTCCCACCACACTGCTCTGAGCAGCTGTTTCCTCCCAGCAGGAAGCCCACACAAAATCACCACATCCGTGGTGGCTCGGGACTCCGGTGGGCTGAGCGGGGTCGGAGCGCGGCCGTGTCTCTCCCACATGGCACGGCGGAGCCGTGTGCGTGCCAGCCTGAACGCCCGGCTCCGCTTGGGATCAGGTTCCAGGCGGTGCGAGCGGCTCCAAGGACAAACCAACGGGCGAGAAGCGAGTGCGTGACACGCAGCAGTCATAAGGCAGCTATTTCCATTGTTTTCCGGCAGGCTTTGTACCTTCTCAAACACACGTGGAAAGCCTCCCGCCGCTCAGAAATCCCAACCCGGAGGAGCAAAGTCCGTGCCAGTGGGCAGCTGGGAAAAGGGCAATAAACACCAACACCCTCCTCGTACAGCGGGACTGACCCACGGGGTGTGAGGGTTATAGGTGTGTCCGCACCTGCAGCATTCCCCGGGCAAAGAGAAATCCGACTTGTTTTAGGCTGCCCTTGTGTTTGCTCAACACAAAGCGCAGCGTGGGGAAGCGGTGTGGAGCAAACAGCTCCTCTGGGAAGCTCCTCTGGTTGTTTTTCTAGGGAGGAGCAGAGCTCGAGCGCTTATTGCTCCGTAGGTGTGCGGGGGGCTTGGGGGGAGCAGATGTGCAGCAGGAGGGGTCAGGGGAAGGACAGGCACCGAGGTTATTCCCGGTGCTCTGTGCACAGCGTGTTAGTTCCCCTTTCCAAGCGATATTTGCTGGATTTGTTTGGTTTGCTCAGCTCCCCCTCCTCAGCAAATGCCACAAGGATGGGAGCGTGGTGGGAGAGCAGCCTCTGTGGAAGGATGTTTGGAAAAGGGAGCTGAACACCAGGGCTACCTGGGAGTCAAGGGCAGGCAGGTCGTGCAGTGCAAAGAATAGAAACTCCCCAGAGCAGCACAGAAATGATAAAATCAGGGAGAGCGGGAGGGAGCAGGGCACTGGTGGGGTCTGCGTGGTGCTGGTGGGGTGTGCAGGGTGCTGGTGGTGGGGTGTGCAGGGTGCTGGTGGGGTGTGAAGGGCGCTGGTGGGGTGTGCAGGGCGCTGGTGGGGTGTGCAGCAAGGCAGGGGTGAGGGCATGGTCCCAGCTCCAAAGGTGCCACGATGCCAGCTCAGAGCAGAGCAGAACAGGAGCGTGCTGATGACAGTGGGACATGCGAGGCAGGAATGGGATCCTGAGGG